ATGCAAGGTTACATTATTTAAAACATATTTGAAGGGTTCTCATCTCGGAGGCTTGCGGGTAAGTAAAATGCGATGTTACAATATTGTAAAACAGATTGGAACGCTTCTCATCTCAGTGGCTTGGGAGGGGCGGGGTGTGAGAGTGAAATGCAAGGTTACCATACTGTAAAACAGAATTGAGCGGTTCTCATATTAGGGGCTTGGGTGTGTGAGTGAAATGCGAGGCTACATCATTATGACGCTACACTCCTATAAAGGTTCCTGGTTCCCAACATTGTTGAATTGGTGGGACAGAAACTCCGGGGCTATTTGCTAACATGACTCCAGAATATGACGTCACTCGCGACGGTGGCTTGAAATATGGATTAATAATAGATTTTAACATCGACGCCATGTCTCCTTACTACCCCACTCCCCGGGGGCCGGGGCTCATGAGCACGGTGCCACTGTGAGGGGGGGGCCATTAAATTGTCAGCTTTATTAATTTTTTTTTTTCTATAAATTTTTTTTTTTTTTTTTTTTTTTTTTTTTTTTTTTGTTTTTGCATTAATTTATGGTTACGGTTCCTGAAATTGGAATTGCTCAAAGTATAAGTAAGGCTTAAAAAGAAACACTGTTTCACACACTCCTCTGACTGGCTCTCTCCACGCTGCCAACTTCGAATTCAAATAGTACGACGCAGAAGAAGTAAACTATTACTTGTTTTATAACCATAGAGTAACATAACCACTGTCCGACAAAGCTAGTTAGCATTGAAACTAAGACTATAGGAATGATATTAGTCACAATGTAGGCTGCGCCCTAACTCTGATATATATCTAAAACGGACATTCTTCCATGACAGACTCAGACAAGCTGTATTCAAGTCAAATTGAAATAAAAACAGACATCCTTCCATGACAGACTCGCAGACAATCTTAATTAACGTCAAACTGAAAAAAAAAAACCCAGACATACATACATGACAGACTCAGACAAGCTGTATTAGCGTCAAATGGAAGTAAAGCGGACACCCTTTTATGGCAGATCAGGCGAGCTATTTATTAACGTCCACTTCAAATAGTACAGACTTCCTTCCATGACAGACTCAGACAAGCAAATATTAAAGTCAATTTTTTTTTTTTTAAAATCAAGGCAAAAAAGAATTATTTTTTTTCATACATTAAAATTGAGTTACACGAACGAGTGTACCTCAGTTCCTCGCGTGGTTTGAGAATCACTGCATGTCGCACCCGCTCCCAATAGATAAAAAGCGGCTCACCACATGGACCACTTGGCGATACATTAAAATTGTTCACAGTAATAAAAAAAAACAAAACAATGCGGATAATGTCCTTCACGTCTGATGTTAGCGACGCCGTTTTCCTAACCGTCGACATCCAGTATTTATTGATCCGAGTGACGTTGTCAGAGCGCTGTTTGTGTTCGGATACCAATTGGCTTTCCGTCTCTGTTGGGGGCGGTTTTCGCATTTGAAGGTACAAGAAAACAACATAATATGGCCAACTTGAGACTGGTAAGTATTTTATGTGCAGCAGGCTCTGCTTAAGGGGTGTCCGTTAACTACGTCAATAATTTTAAAGCAAATTTTGACCCCCCCCCCCTTTTCCCCCCTTGTCAACAACTGTCAAACTTTCAATGACGAACCCCTAAGTAATAATGTCAACATTTCTATACCCCCCCCCCCA